TGGAAGGCGCAGTTTGGCAACGAACAACAGCGTTTCTCTGACAGTCAGGTGGGGGAGCAGTCGGTCATCCTGCCGCACGTGTGCTATGCATTTCTTAACAAGCTGGGGAGTGCAGGGTTTGTTATTGATCGTGATCTGACCGGACTTGATTTTGCCTCCATGATCCCGGCAGGTTATCACGTCAAGCAAGGATGTCTTTCCACCAGCTAGAAAAATCAAAGTTGAAAATTAAATTAATTTCCAAGGGATCCTTTTGAAAAGTGATTGTCACAGACAGAGGATAGAAGTTTCCGTTTCTTAATGTCTTTTCCCCAACCCTTCCTGGAGCTTTTCCAAAGCCACAGAGACAGAATGGCCTCGAAAGAACATACCGACAAGCTCAGGTTCGGGTGGCCTCTCTCCTCTGGAAGGGAGTATTTCTCATTTCTCAGCAGAACTGGGTAGTTGGATGTTGGGGATAGCTCCATGAACTCAAGAAACATGATCTCTTAGTTCTCTCGTTCCTTTTGAAACACAGGTGCAAGGTGGTATCCTGCGCTGGCTGCAGGGCTAGCACCTACATACTCGGCAAGAGCTTGCTTTGTTTGGGAATTCAGAAGCGGCAGCTGGAACAGCTAAATGACCGAGGTGCCGAATGATTATATAGGTAACAAGAATCTTAATCACAATTGAAATAAACATTATTATGTCTTACATAAGACAAAAAGTCTTTTAAATAATTATGAAAAGCTGGCTCATACTCAGAGGTATGAAAAATAAAACAATAAAACAAAACCTGATTTGGAATTAAATAGCAAAGGAATTTTTCCCTTTTGCTGTATGATGCTGTATGTAAACACACAGAGCTTTCTTATTATGATTAGATGCCATTTATTTCTAGTCTCCCTGATGAAAGATTAACTTCACACTTGTTTCTTAATATATACGTTTTAAGAAAGAAACCCATCCATCTGTAAACCACGTGTTGCTCTGTTTAAGACTGACATATTGATTGCCATTGACAGTGTGAAACCCATCACCAACGTAATCCATTTTACTAAGGCATTTGATGAAACAGATGATAAACAGCTTTTAAAAATAGTTTGACTAGTTTGCTGAAAGGGGTTTGTGCTCAGCGTATGTTACCTTACAAAGGTGCTGTATCTATAACTCAGTACGTTATTTCATGACAAGCTTTTCTTTTTATTATCGGGAATCTCTAAGGTACAACTTCAATTACATTAAGGATAGTGCTAAGAAAAAAATTCCTGTGGCAATGGGGAAGAGGAATCTCTTTTGTAGAAATGAAGTTAAAACTTCTTTGGCAAATATGGCTTGCTTTCCCTTGAGACAGAGCGTCTTCACTGAACCACTCAGCTAACCTGATGATCTAAGAGTCTAGCAGAGACACAGCTCGGGGCTTTTTACCTCCAAAGTCTGGGTACTTTTTACTTCAGTTTAACAGGTCACATGTCTCCTCCTTATCCCCCTAGACCTGCTTAGACTCAACTAACCACATGAGGTAAAGGCTATCTTTCCCTTAGTCAACCTCGCCCTGGAGAAGATTAAAACAATCCCACCAAGAAATGAAAGAAAAAAAGAGAAAAAAAAAAAAAAGAGCAGAGACACATTTTAAAACCAAACAGAACAGGGGCCTGTTCTTTTCTGTCTTTTCTCCATAAATTTCTGTTAATTAGTCCAAATGCGGTATTTTATCCTGTTAGAACTGTTTCAATCTGAAAGGAATTCCTGCTTGTGGCTAAGCAAGTTGCCAATGATCTTTTTTACAGGGTCTGGCCTTATTTCTCTGCTGTGTTACGGAGTAAGGTCTGCGACTGGCCAGTTTGGAATCAGTCATGGGGCTGATCCATGGCCAGCAGAGCTGGGACTGCAGGCCACAGTCATAATGATACCCCACTGCACCTCGGGAAACAAATAGCAAATACACAGGTCATAGCAAAATTGGTTCTTTGTTTCCTCATAGGTTTTAAAGAACGAATTTAAGTGACACATTTCCAATAGCTGTTTCTCAGCTAGGTTTTGCCATTCAAAATACTGAGGAGTATTGCTTTTGGCTGCGTACGTTTCATCTGAGAGTTGGTCAAGTCACAACATTTGCTTGCTCTTACCAGTGCTTCCTATAATAGCTAGCATCTGACCACTCTGAACTTTTAAATTCAGATTCTGGATGACTGACACATGAGAACGGGGATCCGATTTCCAGGTCCATGGCATTTTCATCTGGGCGAGGTTTTCATACCAGGGGATCTGGGATGCCATGTTAACCTAACAAAGGAAGAAACGAGTCCCTTCAATTCAAGTAATAAACTATTTAGCAATAAATATTTTCAAAGCTGTGATGTTACAAGCAGGGAATATGTTAAAGTAATATTGTTAATCTTCAGAAATGCACGGAAGCAAGTTCTTCTACAGCTAAGTATGGTTTTCATGCTTTGTTTCTTACTCCTGTTAAACACTAAAGGTTAACTCCTGTTAAACTCCATCCTCTGTCACTTTGGTAATTTGTTGCTATTGTAATTTTTTTTTAATTTCATTTACTTTTCGTATACAATTTGAAATTACTCAAAACTGAAAATTGTGAAGTCTACTTCCTGTGCCATGGTGGCACAAAGGGAGGTGAAAAAATTCACTGGTTCCCTTAAATCCTCCATATGTTTCTTATCCTCTCCCTTGTCTCCTTCCACATGCTCATTTTTGACATCCCAAGCTGAACGGAAAGTCCCTCTGCACCAGCCCTCAGATGAATAATTTGTCTCGAGACTGAGAAAAACCAGAGCCTAAATCCAAACCTCTTTTCCTGTCTATCCCCTGGCTTTACTGGATGTGTTTACAATGGAGAGCTTAGCCTGGTGTCAATATTGCAGCCAGGAGCATGATTCTCCTTACAAAACCTCTGTGTGTTTGGCTGTGCCGTGGTCGTGTGAACTAGTGTCATGAACTTCAACTTTGTTCGCTTTTAAAATGGCTTGCATATAGAAAGAGGTATTGCTGAATATGCTCTCTGCTGAGGCGAAGTATGTAAAGTGCAACTTTTACCTGGTAGTTGAGTTCTTTGACCTCGAGAATGTTTGATTTCCCACTGTATGTGAAATACAGACTGTTATCGTCTTCAGAGCAAAAAATACTGTCCTGGGCCTTGGTCTGAAAAAGTTATTAATTACATAAGTTAATCACAATACCTAAAGGGCAGTTAAAATTTGAGTTCAAAAAAGGCAAAGCAGAAAGGGGACTGTATTTTACGGGATATAACAGTATTGTTGACATGTTACTGGATTGCGACAGCCTGAAGGGTGGAAAAGAGCCATCAGTTAACCCGTGCGAAGTGTACTTTGTTCTAGCGGCGTGTGTGAGGGCTGAACATGCTGTGCTGTGCTCTTCTATTCGCTTTCTATTTAAATGGGATCACTTTGAAAACAGAAATAAGTTGCATGCCGCCATAAAGAGACTGGACTCTGTTTTTGAGGAAAAAGTGTACTGCTTCTGCAGTGTTAGTCTACTGGATCAAAATGCTGCATATTGAAATTCCTAAGTTACGGCAGCTAAATATTAAGTTTCATAGAATCATGTTTGTTCCTTACTGAATTCCACGGGGACTTGTTAACTTGGAGGCTTTATGAACAAATCGGTGTGCAACCACCAGTACAGTCTCTTTTGCTCCGCTCCTGTCTTTTAAATTCACAGTTTGTCAACTGGAACTTGGTGTTCTGAGGTGCAAGTTGAAATACCAGAGTCTCTACGTAGCCTTTTTCATGTAGCTGCAATTAGGAAGCCTTTGCTGAGGTAGGTTTCTGGCTGTGGGTTTCATTCTGTGTGAGTGCCTGGAGTTTTTACTCCCGACAGCCATATCTATCCCCCAGCCTTGTGCCTTTCCTATGAGCCAGACTTTTCCCCGCCAAGGCAAACGTACCTGTTCCCTGTGTAGCAGACCCTGTCCACGCCTGTGGTATCTTTGGCAGATGGTGACCGCAGTCTCTGTGTGCACCTCCTACCCCTCACAGCCAACCAGGCTAATTAATTGTTTCAGTCTAGACACACAGTGCAAAGCAGCAGGACACCACGCAGCCTGAAAAGCCATGTTGAAACCCTCCAAGCTCTCCCCACTGCCAAAGCACTCCGTGCCCTTGCCTACGCTGAACTTAATTTTTAAAAAAACAAGCGGTCCTCAGCAAATGTGGGGAATCAGCTTCACAGCCTGAAGGCATGTTCTGGGAAAGCCAGTCCAGGGACTTTCTGCTCCATCCCTGTATTTGAAGATCCCCTCCCCCAGCCCCGTGGCATCTGAGCGTGGCTTGCCTGACACCGGCCTCCTCCCTGTGTACTCTTGTTGGGGGCGAGGACGCTTTCTGCTCTCTGTTTCAGAGCCGGAGGAGGTAAGGGCTCGCTGCCTGCCAAAGCCCAGTCGGCAGGCTGGCCACCGCCTCTCCCAGCTCCTGGGCAAGCACTGCAGCTGCGGGATGACTGAGCCCATCGCGTCCCTCCCCGCTCGTCTCACTCACCGGCAAGCCCTCACATGCTACCTGGCTCCAGCCAGCACCATCCAGAGAGACACTTTCCGTGGCTTCCTTCATGTTGGCCTTGGAATGTCTTGCTCCCTGCAGTGGTTTGACTGTCGTCTCTTTGAAAGCCGTGAAGACCTTTCTCCTCTTGATTTTGAGCTCAGCCCTTTCCAGGTGCCTTCACCGTAGCACCATTTCTCCTGACGCGCTGTGTCTCTGCAGCTGCCGTGACCCTGGGGACAGGGAAATGTTCCCCTCCGCTGGGACAGTAACAGCTCGGGCTAAAGGTACATCAGATAGCAGCTTCAGCTAATCACCTGTCAGTTGTTCTCAGGAAAAAGAGCTCCCCTGTTTCCTTTCAGGCGCTTCCTCCGGTGGCGAGCGCTGGGGCAGCGACCCGCTCTGACCCAGGGACGGAGCCTCGGGGGAGGCATGGTGGCAGCGCCGGGCCCTTGGCCAGCGGCGTGAGGGAGGGAGCCTGCGGGGCCCTGGCACCAAGGGAGGATGTCGGGCAGAGGGCCTCCCGCCCTGGAGAGGAGCGGCAGGCGGACAGGCGAGGCTAAGGCTGCAGCACAGGCCTCCGACAGCATCAGTGTGCGGGGAGTCTCCTACACCGTCAGGTAGGGCCAGGAGGGCGGCGTGGTGAGCCACTGCCCCCAGGGAGCTGCTCCGACCCTCAGCACTGAGGGGAGAGGGGCTTGGACCGGTGGGCTGTGAGTTTGGCGGCGGCCCAGCGAAGGAGGGGCACATGGTGCTGGGCTGCCCACCTCAGCGTGGAGTACAGGCCTTGAGGGAGGCAGAGCCAGATGGTTCTCCGCAGGGGTCACCCGGAGATGTCTCTGAAGGAGATGCTTTAGAGGAGGTTTCTAAGGATTGTGCCCTTTCCCACTGCCTCTCTTACTGCTTCCAGAAGGATAATGTGAGGCCCTAAGGTGAGGGTCAGGTGGATTAATGGCTGGCAAGCATCATCAACAGATACAGCCTTAGTTCAAGTTTCCCCTCAGCTGCTGTCTGAAAGCCTCCTAGCAGTTGTTCTGAAAAATCTATTCAGACCTCGTTTTACCTTCCAGGTAACACTGAAGTTAAAAAGTTAAAGCATGAGGGGGATGAGGGAACTTCCCCCCCCCCTCCCCACTTTAAAATCCTTGCAGGTTTCCATCCCACGTGCGAGCAGCTATAAACCATTCACTTGCTTTACCCAAAATTTTTAAATCTTCTCTCTTTAACCCTCTTCGATGTTTCTTTTCCAAGAGAACGTGTTGGCCCGTGGTGGAACGTTTCTTTATATCATAAAAAGTGGACCCGGCAAATACTTAAGGATGTTTCATTTCACATAGAGAGTGGCCAGATTATGGGGATTTTAGGAAATTCTGGTAAGTTGTTCCAGTAATTTGAAAGAAATCAGATCGTAGCTAATACCAGCGACTTCCACAGTGGTGTGAACGTGACCGAGGTCTGTGTTTTAAATAATGAAACTGCAGGTGGTTTTAACCCTGCTCTGTAAAAATGTGGTGCCTGGATTTCAGAGTTCAATCTTCTGCCATCTAACTAACAATTACAACTTCAATAAAAGATAAGGTTACTTCCAAACCCGAATGTTTCACTATGAAGTGTGAATTCATATGAATTAAATGTTGGTTTATACATGTTCTAGGTTTCCTATTTACTTCCCCTTAACTAACTGCATTTTCAGGACTTATTACTTTAATTCTGTTGAGGAAAACCAAACCTTGAATTCATAAAATTCACCTCACCACATGATCCATTTATTTTGTTTGAAAGGATCTGGGAAAACAACACTTCTGGATGCAATATCAGGAAGACTGGGACATAAGGACAACTTCTTGGGAGAAGTGTATGTGAACGGGCGTCAGCTGAAGAAGGAACAGTTTAGAGATTGCTTCTCTTATGTGCCACAGGTTGGTCTTGACGTTTATTTTTGTGCACTGAGCTTCCTCTCATGTAAAGTGAAGTTGCTAATGGAATAGAGGAGCGTAATCTGACTGGGATTTTTACGAGTAAATTTGGTATAAAGCGATTAATGAATTGTATGAATGGATGACAGTTGTGCAAGCAGGGGCAAGATCTAATTACTACAGGGCTAAGCGCTTCCTCTTCACCTGATTTTTTCTCTGCAGAGTGACACTTTGTTAAGCTTCCTCACCATACAAGAGTCTCTGACCTACACTGCTTTACTAACTCTTCAGAAATGCTCGGATGACTTCATCAAAAAGAAGGTCTGTATTTTATCACCTTCTACCAGAAAGGCAGACATGATGTCATGTAATGCTTTCCCCAGCAGCACTTTCCATCCATGGCTGAGTTTTACGTTTATAAGGTTTTGTAATCCTCATTCCGCAAATGGGGAGAAATCCTCCTGCTGAGGAGCAGGACACAAGCTCTCTGGTGCTCCCCTCCTCTGCAAGGGGCTTGCGCTGATGCCCCAGGGAATCACCGTGATGCTGGGACAAATGTCTCGCCGGCAAACATGCAGCAGTTGCTGCTGTGGAGATGCTGCTGTTGGTATCGAGGTCAGCTCCCCTTCCCCAGCTGGGAAAGACAGTTCTCTGGGGTGTTTAGGGCCGTGTGTGCTGGCGAGTCTCATGGACAGTAGAGATGGCTTTGACACTACTCTGGCTCCTGTAGGATGTCTCTCACTGACCACAACAGCTCTGAAAAGCACTGGTCTCCTAAGTCCCCTACAAGCTACTTGCTTGATAGAATAGGTGTGTTTCAGATCTATTGGGCTCTTTTTTTGGCCTCCGAAACTAAAGACTGGATATTCCTGAGCAAAGGCTCTTGTGTGCTGTATTCTCTCTCCACCTGTCTTCCACCCAGTATTTTATACTTTCTCAGAATTGATGTGCCTTTCTGCTCCCTTATTTTGGAAGCCAGACCCCAGCATTTTATGCTTCATACCTTAACTTCTAGTCCCACCTCTGAACTCTTCATCTCTTAATGTTAATTGAAGCTAAAACTCTATTCATTTCAGAATAAATGAAAACAAAATTAAAAAATAATAATTGCAATAATAAAAATAATCAAATAGCATTGAGGCCAGATACCTACAACTAGAATGGATGCAGGCAGCATGTTGCCCTAACTTTAAATGATCATCTTTTCATTTTGCACACGGGTATCTGAGTTGGACTGTGTTTAGTCTTTCTAAATTGTAATTATTTTTTCAGGTAGATGCGGTTATGGCTGAGCTGAGTCTCAGCCACATTGCTGACAAAATAATTGGAAGCCGTATTTTCGTAGGAATTTCTGGGGGTGAGCGGCGTCGTGTTTCAATTGCAGCCCAGCTATTACAAGATCCCAGTAAGTACCACTGCGTGGATTTTCAGAATAAAACAAAGCAGTGTCACTTCGCGCTCCTACCTTGGTCGGGCATAAACCACTGTGGAATACAAAAGCATTTACATGCTGTGATTCAGCAAAAGCTAGTCCAGTATTGACAGAAAAAGATGAGCAGTAGTTCAGGTCTGCCATTAATCTACTAGTTATTTTGGAAAGCAGATGATTCTAAAATCTTAGGGACTGAACATAGGTTTAGACTTGCATTTATCCATTTTAAGTCTTTCTGGGCCGGCCTGCCCATGTATGAAGTGTTGTGGACGCCATGTACGTTCCAGAGCCAAAAAGGTAGTCAGCACGTGAGATTTTCCCATTGGGAAAAGACATAAACATAACAGTAAATGCTCAGAAGTGTAATAGGCCCTCAAGTTGTGTCACCCTTGATAAAGAAACCAGATATTGATGAATATACAACCACTTCTATATGTGGTTATAGACCTACTGTAAAAAAAAAAAAAAATCCAATAAATGGAAACCGAAGCAGAGAAACTAGGGTTAGCCATGGGAAGCAGCACTGTAAATTTTGTCAGTTTTGAGATAGTTTCTTCAAGGACCCAGAATCGTACGTAGTGTATGTACAGCACGCTTTTGTTGGATTCTAGCTGTGCAGATGTGCATACCCGGACTGCATACCAGGGAGGAAAGAGCATGTAAATAGCAGAGTGAGGTACATCACAGGTACTGTGTGCTACCGGTGACTCCCAGGGAGTTCACTGTGTGTAGTTATTGCTCAGTAAGTTCACTAAACTCTATTGTAAACACTATAGTAATTCTGTGTAGATAAACCTACAGAGAAAGCTCTCCTCCCCCCATACCCTGATCAAGGTTGACCTGCTCTCTTCCATGCTGTCTCTCATCCATGTAAAAATACTGGATTTGACTGTAACTTTTACCTTTCCATGTGCAATAAAATCATGAAGAAAATGCAGTAAAAACCCCTGCCTCTCATCTATGGAATTATATATGCTGTATTTTAATGTAACTTAATTTGTTCATAACAAATTCTGTTTGTGTGTATAGATTTAATTCATATTGCAACTTCTAGCTGATTACGTCAGTTATATTTACATTTGTACATACTGAAATTTATCATTATTGCTCTCAGAAACAGATGTATACCTCAAATCTCTTTTGGTAATTTTCAGATTTCACCTGAACTTAGAAAAAAATGCTCATGCTCTCATCCTGCAGTAGCATTTTACATCCTAACTCCTAGTGATTGGAACTCAACCACTGAAGCTAAAACTGAAAGATCACATTATGGAATATGTGTGCATGCTCTGCTTTACGTGTGGAACTTCACATGTAAAGAGATTTCTATACTAATTGCCAAATCACTTTCAAGGGCAGAAGCTGTAACATTCGCTCCCCCTTTACCTGCGTTTTAATGCACTTTCTTGTAATTTCACAGAGGTCATGCTGCTTGATGAGCCAACAACAGGGCTGGACTGCCTGACCGCAAACCAGATTGTCTCGCTGCTTTCAGAGCTTGCACACAGAGACAGGATTGTGATTATTACGATTCACCAGCCTCGCTCAGAACTCTTCAGGGTAAATGATATCTACTCACTCTTTGCTTTTTTTTTACCAATGTTTTTAGTCCCTAGGTTCTTTTCAGGATAAGAGTATAAGATCCACTACAGTTGCCTTCAAAGGCTCTCTTCCTTCTCCCCACCATCTCCAAGGCGTGTCTTGAACAAGCCCTGGCCTTCTGCTAGCCGTAGGGTACTTTGGGGTACATACCGCCCCGTGAAAATAGCACATACACCGACTGTGTGCCTAGCCTTTGTGTCATGTTGCTACCAAGATCAAAACCACTGGGAGAAGCCATGCAAGCTCCCTGTGTGTGCAGGCACTGTAAAAACTAGCACTTTAGTTATCTTTACATGTTCAGATTTCACTTGCAGCTTGAGACAGATAAAGCCGTGGTTTGAAATGGAGAAAACCCCCAAATGTGCTTTTTTCCTCTTTGTCCCAAGTGATGTGGATACACTTGGCCACGTGGAGGGGCAGGCCCGCCCTGTAGGGCCTGTTCTGGGGAGAGCATTTCTCCCTTTCCATTACAATTTCGCACTTTGCCATTCTGATGCATCAGTCACCCACCCGCTGAATTCACCTCTTCCCTGGCTGACTGGCTTCACTCTAGGTGGCTGTGAAGCCAGAGTAGAGTGGCAGTGGTTTTCTGGGCTTAGGCACTTCAGGCTAATCTTCCCAACAATTTGGGATTTTACAGACTGCGGCTGTTAAGCACCAAAGGAGGTCAGTCAGTAAGTGAAGGTGCATTAGAAGTGAAGTCAGAAGCCCACAGCTCCCATTGCTGTTTGTGGATTACCTCTGTGAGCTGCTGTCTTTGACAGTTTTGAGAACTGCTGGTTTTAAGAGCTTACAAATGTTTCATCTTGCATAACCACCGGGAGGTGTGACGGAAAGGACAAACTTCCTTTGACAGAAATGAACTGAGGAAGTTTGAATGTGTCAAAACTGTTTTTCCTGTCAAAGCATCTTTTATTATCGAGACAGTAGCTGTACTCAAAAATTAAGGTGCTGCTTCTTGGCATGTATTGCTAATATATTAATTTGTTCCCCACAGTTATTTGATAAAATAGCCATCATGAGCTTTGGAGAAATGGTTTTCTGCGGGAACCCTATGGAAATGATCACGTTTTTTAGTGACTGTGGCTATTCTTGTCCTGAGCAATCAAATCCTTTTGACTTCTATGGTAAGTTTTTCTGAGTTGTTTTGGTAAAAATATGGGTTTCCTTTAGACAAACAAGTTGTTTTCTTCCCCAAATTAAAGTTTTTCCAGAGATAGAAATGTGTTGGAATTCTTCCCCAACTTTGTAATTATTCTCAACTTGGGGAAGAGCAAGGGCTGGGCGTATGTATCCTCCACCGAGTCCATAAAACAGCAGAAGTTTGCAGTAGGTCTGAAACACAGCAGAAAGGTGTAAACTACCAATAAAGCAGGAATCTCAGCTTCATGAAACCTGTGGACTCCTGATGGTATCTCCCTGCCGCTGTCCACTGGACGTTGAAAAATCAATTTGATCCCAAAACCTTGGAAAATCCCATGCTCTTACGGACTCTGTGATGCCAAGCAACTGTAGACAGTTGTTGCCTGGAGGGAAGGATGTAGCAGAAATATGGGGTGAGTGAGGTATCAACTTGCAGAGACTGAGTTTTCGGTTTCTGAAAGTTTGAGGAGTCGCTAATACCAGGGTGAGCTACTGGAGCAGAACGTATGGATGCTTCAGGAGGGGAGGATAGCAAGCTGTTGGCAAAAGCTGAAGAGTGCTGTTCTACCACTTTCAAGATGAAAGAAGTGTCAGGGTGAGACACTGGAAGTGAGGCTTGGTTTTGCTGCAGGGCATCCATGTACCACGTGTTTGAAGAGCACATGTCCGTGTCTGTGTGTGTACATATGTGCATACGTGTGTGTGTGCATATATGCCTATCTATCTTTTTTTAACCTAGTATGTAGGCTGATTTCTGATAATACTGACTGAGCATTAACCAGAGAATCTGACCAACCCAAAAAGCTGTGTGCAAAAACCTGGCACATTCAGAGGAGGCAGTGTTTTCCTATTGTCTAGATGGCATCCAAAACTCAGAGAGAAGAGGATGGTTGTTGACACGGAGCTGGAATGGGATGAAGCTGAAAATACTGGTGTGACAGCAAGGATAATTTTGCCTTCATGAATTTGTATAGTCTTGAAAAGCACAGCTGATTTGAGATTTAGACCCACTTTTGAAGAAGCTTGGTAAAGAGAGTACTGCATTCTTCAGATGTCAACTTTTGAATGTGACAAGAAAAGGAAAAAACCACAGTTTAGAGCAAAGAATCATCAGAATATTTAGTCTCTGGAAAATTGGTAGTTTATATTTTTTTTTTGTGATTTAATGATGGGAATGAAGGGACAGATTCTGATATCATTTAAACCAACAGCAGAGGAAAATAGATCCTGTGTATTGAGTGTGGATTATATTATGGAAATGTCACATGCTGTGTACAGATGCTGGGTAGGCATTAGCTATTTGGTCTAGTGACTAGCTGGTGGTGTTTTTTTTTTTTTTTAAACACACCTGGTTGCTTTTTTCCTGTGTGACTTCACACTGGCCAAGAGTGTCTGCAGTTTGGATGTTCATATTTGCAAAAGCAAGGACTTCATTTTGGATATGTTTACCATTACAGACAATTCTGCTGAATTCCAGCTTTCAGAACACCAGGGATCTATTCATAAGCTTAATTCAGGTTTTGAGGACAAATGAAGAATCTCGGACATGGGCTCATTTACCCTTGTTCAATTTGTGTTTTGAAGTCAAGCATAACACTGTAAAACTGAAATCTAAGGGTGGCAGAAACCTTAGAAATAAATAACTGATAAAGATGTCTTACCAGGTGTAGGAGAGCCAGAGAAAAATCTGTAAAATGGGAATGACAGTCTAGGTTTTGAAACCTCAGATACTTCATTGCTACTAGGGAAAGGGGAAATTCCTAATGCATTTTAGCATTATTGCTGAATCCTTACGACTTGTAGCACACACGGCGTTCCCATCTGCCAGTAAAAGAATTGCTGGTGTCAGGAACAGGTAAGGGTGGATTTATGAAAAAGGAACATTAACTCCGTGAAGTATTTACCTTTCACAAGTTCCCTAGCAGTAAGTAATATTTTCTTCAGCTTGGGCTGTGCCTGGAGTTTGGCCTGCTGAGCTTCACGTTAAAACAGAAGCCTGGCTGGGAAGGAGTTAGGTGAAACCCAGTGCAGTAACGGCTCCGGTGGAGGAGAGCGGGGTGTCTGCAGCAGGAGCTCGGACTAACTGCAGAGTAAAGCCCCGTGGTGATGGAGGAGCAGGCGGAGGACAAGGGGCAGTCAGGGAGCTGTGACTGAGGATTTACCTGAAAACCTGAGACATGCACGAACAGAAAGCTGTCTCTTGATCCTCATCAGTGTTCCTCCTCAGCTGGTGCCCTGCCTTGCTCATGGCAGCAGTGGTGCTTCAGCAGTGGCACGGCTCTGTGCCGTGCAAGGAGAACACTAGACGTCTGACCAGCACACCGCTCAGCCCTTCCACTTCCAGATAAAGGACTCGAACTTCAGAGTCCTGCAGAGGGCACAGACCAGATCTATCCTGGCGGCACAGTTATTCCTTCCTGCTGCTTCTCATGGAAAGGAAGGGTCAATGAAAACTTGAATGTTTTCAATGGACCTTTTCTTCCTTACAGGTCTTAGGTTAGAGGCAAGGAGAGGTTAGTTGCAATGGCGGGGAGAGGTAAGAAAAGACAGTGGTTGTATACACAGCAAACACTTTGTAAATTTACAGTGGATCTGACATCTGTGGACACCCGAAGCAAGGAACGTGAACTCGAAACCTACAGTAGGGTCCAGGTAATTGTATCAGCCTACAAAAACTCAGAGATCTTCAGCAAAGTGCAGGCAGCCATTGAAAGAACAAAGTGTATGAAAGAGCTGCCACCAATACCATTCAAAAACAAAGACTCACCCAGTGCCATTTACAAATTATGGATTCTTTTACGGTAAGAATTCTAATTTTTTTCTTTCTTTTAGGAAAAATCAATTTTTTTTCTTCTCCACTAACTTCTCCTGTTCCCCCTCCACCCACCCTCACCCCCATATGTAAGTGCACTTTCTTGGGTTTTTTTTGTCTACCACTGTACTTGTAACTGTCTTTTTTTAATATTACCTCTTTTTGGACATTGTCTGTGTGAGATTTGTTCAGAGCTAAATACCCTACCACCATGTGGTCCCTCATAGCTAACAAGTCTGTTGTTTTTGTTTTGTTCCATTCTCAGGAGGACAACAAGAAACTTCTCCAGAGATAAGATGGGCATCATCATGCGTCTCCTCCAGAATCTGTTATTTGGCTTGTTTGTAGCGTTTTTCCTTCTTAGACTGAGGAACGACTTGGTAAAAGGAGCTGTGCAGGACCGTGTGGGGCTGGTCTACCAGTGCGTGAGTGCCCCCCCCTACACAGGGATGCTCAATGCTGTCGCCCTTTGTGAGTGTCTGTCCTGTATTGCCTGCAGCAGCAGGTGTTGATGCCACTGTTTTGTAAATAGAACAAAGCCTGGTTTTTTAGGATGGTAATTTAGAGGACCTTAACCGTTCTAGGTAATGTCAGAGCTGATACAGAAGCTCAAAAGGCGAAACAACAGGAAGCTCCGCACCACAGAAAGATTAGTGCATCGGAAGGGCTCCAGGTTCACTGGGCTTAGTGAAGGAATATGCCCTGATCACTGCCTCTCCCTTTTACAGCCAGCCCGTGCATGGAGGCTTTATTCTAAAGGGTGCAAGAGCTTTTAATGTGCCTGCGTGCAGCATGATAAAGGCAGGACAAAGTCTAGGTCTGTAGTTAACCTCTGAAGTGAGATTACAACCAAAGACAGGAAAAGATGGAAGCACGAAACAGCTTTGACAGCAACCAAGGATAACAAGATTTAAAAGTATTAGGTGGTGATAACATCCTTCTTAGAGGGTGTTTCCCTTACAGATGCCATACTAACACCAACAGTAGTTTCTCTTTACAGCCCTAAAAACTGTTCTGCTCATGCAGGGAACGTACATTGCTGTCAGCGCCTTGAGATCTGAGCATCTCAAGAAAAGTTATCCAGTGAGGGCAGTTTTTTCATGCCTTTAGTCTGTATCTGCAAAAAGAGGAGGCTGTCCTGCATGCTGCCTCCCTAGGCCTCCTCTGTTAAGCTCAGCAACTTGAGCAGTCTGCAGGCAGCGTGTTTTGCATTTATAGCGGGGGGAAAAGTGATCCGACTGGTTTATACAGAATGTTTTGGGTATATTCTCCAAGTTGTCTCTGTGCTTCAGGTTGTTTTTGCTAGCAGCAAGTCTTGGTCTCTTTATTTAATGGTGATTTAACTTATTTCTTATATATTTAATCCAGTCCCACCTTTACGTGCTATCAGTGACCAAGAGAGTAAAGATGGCTTGTATAAGAAGTGGCAAATGCTTTTAGCTTATATAGTGCATTTCCTGCCCTTCAGTGTCATCAGCGTGGCGATCTTCAGCACCTTTATATACTGGTAAGTGCTTGTACCATCTATGGGATTATCTTCCTTTTGTTAGCCATTTCAATTCCCGTGTCAGCAACAGGCCTCCTGTTTCCAGGCTTAAGGAAAGATGGCATGATTTAAGCCCTGACACTAGGTGCAAGTTTCTAATAAGATTGGGGGCCTGAGCTGCACTGAAGAACTTGCCAGGCTTGCCAAGGATCTGTGGAGCCCTGCGGTGGTATTTGCAGGGAGGCTTTTTGTCTCTGGAAGGGTGACGCTTTGCATGCACGCGTGCCTGTGCGCCCACATGCGCAAAGGGAAGAGAAGTGACGCTGAAAGACTGAGTGAACGAAGGCGTAAGCGTGGCAAAATCAGTTCCCTGGGTAACTTTGGAAGTTCTTATGGGCTTTGGGACATTCGGCATTCTTTTGTCATACAAAAACTGGGAAGTGCTGTTTTACATTGCATTTAGAAAGATAGGAAATAAGAGGGGAAAAAGGTGAGGAGGACAACAGTAGGGATGTGACAGTGACAAAACTTGTTATTTTTGGGAACGTTTGGGGTTTAGCTACAGCACATGGAAGGGATGAGGCCTGCTGCCCTCTCTTCCACTTCCCAGAGAAAGGCCCAAAAGTGGATTTCTGATAGTGGAAGAAAGGGGCTGATTGTAAACCTTGCTTTTTGCCCCCAGTACCTTCATTTCCTCGCATCATGTGAAGGACTACATCAGAATGGGGTGACAAAGTATTTCATCGCTTCGCTGCCTTATCTATCATATAGGTCTGCTCTTCATTTGCATTCCATTGGTTTCCCACTTTCCACTTGCTTATTCTGAACTTAACACAGCCCATGGCTGCTGGTGTAAGGTAGTAGTGAGGTAATAAGGACCAGTTTCTGTCCTTCGAGCTTTTTCTGGGTTTCTTGTTTTCCTAATTATGAAAGGAATGATGGGCTCTTGTTTGTGCAAGCTGCCAGTGCCGCCTGCCTCGGGCAGTGCTGCCTGCCTCGGAGAGTGCTTCCCGAGAAGTCCTTTTCACAGCCAAGCAGAAATTACTCCTTATCCCACGGAGTGTTCGGAGGATGCACTGTGCTCACCAGAGCCCTTCCGTTTGTGCCTGCTAGTGAGCTGGTTGCTGAGAAGGCAGCCGTTCGGAAAGCACCGTGCCAGGCTCAGCAAGGGAAGGCTGGCGGAGCTCCTGAAGATCACGACCCGCTGTTTGCCCCGCGCGCCCCTGAAGGAACAGGAGATTGACATGGGCAGAGACTTTGCCCTGGTGCTTTGGTAGCTTCAATCACAACCAACAATAAAGAGTGTGGTTGCAGTTAATGGGTAATATTTACAGATCTTCGCCTCTGCTTATCTTGGCTATCTTGTGGTTGGTTGGAAGCCATCAGTGACATGTCAGTGCACTCACAGTGCCCTTCAACCTCTTAGGGCAAGCAGTTTCTCTCTGAAATTTTGAAGATCGTATCTGTGCAGGGCTAAACTTTCCTGGATGGACTAACTTGTGGAGAGGCTTTGAAAGCCTCTGGTACATGTTCTCACAAGCCTTTTCTCTCAGAGTTTGTTTGTAGGGTCAGACAGTTCGGGTCAGACAGACCCAAACTTTTACCTGGTGGGACACAAGACAGCTCTGGCCAAGAACAAATACAGCCACTTTTGTAATCAAGGAAATTTCCTCTGCCTGTGCAGATTTTCCCAGCTCAGGATACCTCTGGGCAATGTTCTGACGGTTTATATTACCTTACCATTCTATTGCTGTGATATTTTCTCTTCTGAGTTGGTTTTTATTCCTCTTTTCTGGGCTTTCTTCTCTTTCTATTTCTACCCTAGATTTACAAGTGTGCATCTACACAGCTCTGTGTAAAGTACTAGAGCACTTCAGAGAAGGAGGTACTTTTACGCCAGGACTTTGGAGAGCTGTTTCTTCCGCACCAACCTGTGACTAACGGTTGTTAAATACCTGCTAGCTCATTGAATATTCAATACTTGAAAGCGTCAATGTTCAGCCATCTATTTATAATAGAGATTATTTTGGTATTACCTTTAAAAATCGCCTCCGGAAAGCTCTAAGAAAATTAATACTTCTATTTTAAGACCATGTTTCAAACATGGTGGATTAAAAAAAAAAAAAAGGACCTTGCATTGGGCAATGAAGGAGAAAATGTTGAATAGCTGCTTGTTAGCTAAGCCAAGCACACTGTCTGTACCTGGCGTGAGGCAATTCTGAAAAAGGGTAGTATGTCACCATGTAATAAAAGCTTTTGTCATGTCATACACACTATAAGGCTGAATTTAGTTTGCCAAGCACCTGCTGGTGCCTCTCAACCCTTAGGTTTTTAGTACAGGTGGGGACACACATGCATGCACTTTTTTCCTGAGGGGAGCTAGGGAGAAGCCGGAAACAGTGTGTTGTATTGAAGAGTGCAGGGGTATGGAGGAAACTGCGTTTGGGCGAGTTATGTGGGTGGTGTATCCAGTTGGCCTATCCATTTTTGCATGTGCCTGTGCTGTATCAGAAGTGCCAGATTCCATCTGTTCCTTACCTGCATAAAGGCATTCTTTAAACATGTGACTTACATAAATAACTCCCACTGCTAAAGACCCTAGAAGGATGTTACTCTAAGGGGTTGTAAAAGCTACAGTGGTTATCTTCAAACAACACGGATTTCTGCTGCAGCTTTACACACCCCTCTTTAATCTAGATGGAGAAAACCGAATACATCTGCACTTACGTCATGAAATTAAGTGGATGTCCTTTATGTGGAGGCTCCAAACAACGTACTGAGGGTTAAGACATAAACAGGTCGCTTAATGTCTAATTGCAAAAAAGAAATAAAAGCAAAACCGAAAGCTACGTTCCAAGTTTAGTACCAAAACACTGGGTTTTGAATTTTCTTTTGCTCATTTTTGTACAGGACTGCGGGGTTATATCCTGATGCTTCCAGATTTGGAGTTTTCTTCGCTGTTGTCTTAGCGTCTCATGTAATTGGTGAACTACTAACACTTGTTATGCTTGGCGTGGTTCAGAACCCAAACATAGTCCAAAGTGGAGTGGTGCTACTGAATTCAGCAGGTGTCATAGTGGGCACTGGACTTGTAAGGTAGGAAAAGGTTTGATTTCCTTGTGGTGTTAATGCTAAGATGATCTGCCGACAGAGGAGTTGCATGAACCGTCCGTAATGCTGAAGCACAGTAACGCTAAGGGAGCAATGGAAGGACAGTGCAGCCGTTGCCCTTTAGAGGCAGAACTGCCCAGTCGTGTTAGACCTCATGCTAAATACATGGAAAGAGACACATAATAACTTTGGATGTCAATGAAGACATGAACGGTTTTTTCCACTCTTTGCAAGTATAAGCCTGAGCAATTAATACCTGTCAGCTCAGCTGACTTCTTTGACTTACGCTGATTTTATCACATGAAATGCTGTCCTCGTCTGAGGATTCTACCCCTCCAAAAAAATACCTTACAGCTTCTAGTAACTGCTGGAACGTATCGGGTATTAAACCCTAGGAACAACGCTTTGTTAAAAAGGTGGTTCTTAACTCTCTCATTAGTGTTATTCTCCAGATTAGTCCTTACACTTGTCAGACACTTTTTCTGTCTGTGCCGACAGAACCACATAGAGAGTAACAAAATAGTTTAGTGAATACACAGAAAAATCCTGATCCACTTGCTCTGTCACTGTGCAAATAAATGTTTTTGCATTGTAGCAGCATGAACTTTGCACAGTTTCCCTCTTGTATTTGTCAATATTGAAATTACTGTTTTTTGAGAAACATATGATAATAAATTACTGTCAAAGAAAGTTTTGATGCGGGGAAGATACGATACGCTCACCTGAGATCTTCCCAATGGAAATGACATAAGCCTGACAAAAGATGATGTCAGGTTGTCCTCGGGAAAAGCATACGAGTCTTCACAAAGCTGATGGTGCTTTGCCTCTTCAGAGTAGACCTCAGCTAATACTTGCTTAGCAAATAAAACTAAGTCCAGATCTAACTAATTTGGTCCCTGCCCCATTTCAGGAAGATATAGTTTGATAGTGACAAGACAGTTTTTCCTGCTACCACAGTCTTATACCCTAATGATACCTTTAAAAATCAGAGCGGTTTTAACTTTCTTCCACAGCAGAGGCATTGCTAATTAACATTGTGAATCTGATGATTAAGCTTCATAGGCAATGAAGGATATTAAAAATAGCACTGAGACTTGGGTTGCTGGTTGTTCTGTTCATTACTGTGTTCCGTTATAACGTCTTCCAGTATTTTAGGTGCAGAACTTGCCTGGTCTTGCTGAGTAACGTTGTTTCAAAACCTTCCTACCCTGTTTCTCTTCTCATTGTTCTCTCATCCATCTTTGTGATGTTGTTCCAGTGAATTGATACTCAGTTTTGAAGATGGAGGGAGGGGAGGGGGTGTGGTTTCTCACTCTGGAAGCACCATGTTTGCAGCCAAGGTTTATACTCGCTCTTGTTTATCCCCACAACGTGAATAGCTAACCGCTTCGTAGAATCATTTGTGGCTGTCCACGAGCCCACCAGGGCTGGATGTCACGACACTGTTCCCACGGCAGGGACAGCCTTTGCGGCTGCCTCCTCATCCAGCGCTCAAACGGCTCCACGTTCGGAAACCCAGCGGGGAGAGCCGAGAACTGCTTCCGTAGCAGGCTGTGACCAACGCTGACAGCCTGTGTTAATGTGGGATCAGGTTGGCTCTTGGAGTGTAGCAAAAGGCAAATTAACCGCTGTTTTCTTTAAGGACCATCGAAGAAATGCCGACACCTTTTAAAATACTGAGTTACGTCACCTTTCAGAAATACAGCAGTGAAGTTCTTATCGTCAATGAATTTTATGGCTTAAACTTCACGTGTGGTAAGTGACCATCGTAAATTATTTTAATGAGATGTCAATCCTTATGTGCCTTCTGCATACAAGTAGAGTATCCTGACGCAGACAACTTGTGAGTCTTTAGAAAAGGCTTATTAATTAGCAAAGGCCATAACGCTGCATCACAAGCTAGATGGAAGTTTGACTCTCTCTTTTTTCCAGCCAGTTCTCCTTCTTTCAGTTTTTCGTTTCTCTTCTTCTCCTGTTCTTTTATCCCCCGCTTTGGGGGAATTTTGGAAGGCAAAATTTGCAGCCCGTTAGGTGCTTATCGGAGCGGTGTTTCACAAATTGAAGATCAACAGAATTGCACAATATTAAGATCAAACATGGGTGCCAGCCAGATGTTTCCTCTCAGACAATGAGGCTTCAGTTTGGATACGTTACCGTGGCATGTATTGAGTGCCTTGCATGTGTCCGGCTGTCCTTCGCTGCCTGGGAGTAAGATAGCCGGCAAAATGTTGGGATGGATGAGGTTGGGGGGTCAGGAGCTGATGCCCATCCGTGGGGGCAGAACTAGGAGCTGTGCACCTGCCCAAGGGGATGTGGGGCTTTGTAGCCAGGTGCCTCTGCTCCTCTCCGAGGATTAATACTCTTTATCCGTTCATCCCTCCTATCCCTCTTTGAGACAGGAGCATAGATGGCAACTGTTGGAGAGTGAATCCGTGACTCTGGCAGTAACAACAACCACCTGGTTGTTAATGTGCCCTTCAGGCAGTCTCCACTTCCTGCATGTTGGAGAAGCTCAACACACGAGGGCTGTACGCCTGCCCCACGGGGCAGCTGCTTCCTGCCGCCCCTCCAGACGTTGTCTCTGGAAAGCCCTAAGCCACCTGTTGTTTGGCGCGAGCAAACCAGAAGGTTCCTAGTGACCCCTTATTCTTCCCATCAAAGCACATGGCCTAGGTTAACTGCAGAAGCGGCCGGCTCGTCCGTTCCGATTCCGAAAGGGTGGGAAATGCTGCTGTGGTTATGGTTCACCACTGAAACGGCGTTAGGGCGAGGTACATGAACCATGTGAGCCGGACGCTGATCCCGAGTTTCAGTTTTACTGATTCACCTGCTGAAGAAATTCATTTTTTTCCTTCTGACAGGCGGTGCCAACAGTTCCACTGCAACCAACGCTGCCGCCTGTGTCTTCTCCCACGGCATCCAGTTCATTGAAAAAAACTTCCCAGGTGCCTTGTCCCGCTTCACAACCGATTTCCTCATACTCTACGCCTTCCTCCCGGGACTTGCCATTATAGCAATCCTGAGCTTCAAAGTAAGAGACGGAATTCTTGGCAGGCAATAAAATGTCTCGGTTCTAATGACATCTAATGCTGCACTTTTGCCTTTGTTACGGTTGAAGGCTTAAACTGTTGGATTTTGGATATAATTTAAGTGATTAGACATACTGACACGCATTTGTCTTCTCATTTCCTTCTAACTGGATGGTTTCCATCTTGAAAAACAATGTTCTCCTAGGAGCGTGAGAGGCTTCCTGCTACTGTATTCCCACCCCTGCCCAAGTTGGCCATAATCAGCAGTATTACATGTTTTAGAGGACTTTTTATATTTAACTTAGCTGTTGCTGTCAAGTTTTAACAGTGCAGCAATGGTGCCCTAATTTTTTCCCTACTCTTTTGTCTTTTAACCATTACCACTAAGCAGAGGGGTACACTTGCTAGCAAATCTCATTTCTAGGATTGTATTTATAGCCCTCTGCTTTGTTTTGATACCATTCTGGGGGTTTGTAGAAAGGGAACAACCCAAATACGTGTAGATAAAGGCAGAATGAAAAAATCACTCACTCCAATCTTGTACAACCGGTGAGCACAGGACCTTTAAGCCAGGTAAATGCTACCCAACGTGTTTTGTCATGTAAACGCTGGTAGATCAGAGCAGACAGTTATGTAATTTATAGTTACATGTTATATAGACAGTTATGTGTTCCTTCCTTACGTTATCAAGTTCTAAATGCTGTTTCGGAAGCAGTTTGTGAATGACTAGAACAAGGACTTGTTTGTTAATAAAACAGCAATTTAGAATTTAACTAGGGGGACAAAAAAATCTGAAAGTTGCTTGCCAGTTCTTGGAAGCAACGTGGTCTGCATCTTCGGAAATTATTCCCATGGACCCATTAACATCCCAAGGAGTCTAATTTATCTGTTTAATGACTAGAAATATCTCTCAGAATCGAAAGCCTAACTGACACAGAAGTTCTGTTACAGAGGGATAGCTAGAGATTGCTTGGAGGAGGTAAGTGTATGTGTATCTTGAAATTCCGTAACGAGGTAATTAGTTTGATTTGATAGATTTGAGATGACGCACTTTGTAATGAAGAATGTGAAATCCTCGGGTTAATGCAAGCTCTCCACTTCAGTGTCTTCCTACTACCCTTACGTGTAACATTCTGAGATACAGACGTTTCCCTGCACGCGTAGGGTTGTTCATCAGGGAACATCCTTAGGGTCGGGTCTGCCAAGCGACTGCTGGACAAGTCTGCTCTGACGACAAGTCGTAGCTCTCAGGAGACGCCTCTGGCTTGAACCTAGATCTTGTCCTGTGTGTTCCCGAGGCGCTCAGGCCATCACAAGGATGAGAGGAAGTCCGCAGACAGAAAGCCACGCGTAGGCCAGCCCTTCACCAGCTTGGCCTGTGCGGCCATCATACTTCCACCGCTTCCCAAGTATCTGTGGAATGGCTTACCCTGGCTTCCTAGGGCTGACGTGACAGGAGCATCATCCTCTGAGTTATGGGTGACGTGATCACAATATTACACGTTGGAAGAAATAATTCCTGTATTAAACTCTATGATACTGAAACAAAGTGAACTTCTGAGTTTTAGAGGAGGTCAAACCTGATTGTTATTCCACTTCATCCTGCCAGTTTTTGTAGACTTACCCTATCCAAACACCTGGAACGATGATGCAAACGTATCCTCAAGCTCTGCTTTTGAATTATATACGCAGGGAGCAATGCCCAGCGTGCTCTACTAGGCCGTTTCCTCTTTGGGGCGTGAAAACTTGTTGATATTTTAATAGGGGTTTAAGGGGGAAGCATTCAAAAATAAATCCAATAACGTGTTATAACTGAGGGAGAACTGATTAATGCCTGTCGTGATATTCAAACCCACCCCTAAGTAATCCAGAATTCCTTTCTCCTCACTTTTTTAAAACTCTGGGTTGGTACGAAGTTAATGTTCCCTTTGGAGTGAAGCCAGGCTGCCCCATCCCTGGGAGTGTCCAAGGCCAGGCTGGATGAGGCTTTGAGCAACCTGGTCTAGTGGAAGGTGTCCCTGCCCATGGCAGGGGGGTTGGAACTAGATGGTCTGTAAGGGCCCTTCCAACAAAAAACATCCTATGACTAAAAATAAAACCCTATTTTTATTTAAAAATAACAACAGGAATGCTTCATAAGTACTAATTTTGTAGTTTAATATTGTATATTTTCAACTTCATCTGATTGTATTGTTAATAGAATATTAGAACAATTAAATAATTTTGTAAATGTTAAACTATAGACACCTGTAGCAGTTCTTCAGTCAGGGTCAAAATCCATTTCTTTCCAGGATTTCGAGGCATTTCTTTTGTATTGTTCAAGTTCCTAAAAGACAAACACACACACACACATTAATCTCATCTCCTCGTTACTGAAAGTGGTGTGATACTCACATGAGTCACCCAAACATGTGAGGCACCTACAAATGTTTTTCAGTGTAGCACAGAAAATGTACAGTGTGGGTTTTATTTTCAACAGAATTATATAAAAGTGCCTTAAATTTTGCCACGTTTGCTCTCACAGAGGGAGCAAGATTTTTTTTTTAATTGAGTCCTAGATACTTGCTTTCTAGGGTGTCAAAGTGTGGTGTGGGGCCTTAGGCATTCAGTTTTAGAAACCAGGCTCCCACTGAGCGCACAGAAATGTAACATCCCCTGTGCTTTAAACACAGGAACCAGCACTGCCTGACAGAAACTGCCGTTTCACACGTTTCTGCCACCTTTGCTATGGGAAGCATCGCATCTTTGCTATGGCTCCCTAAAATGAAGTTCAGGTGAGCTTGCAGCAGCAACACCCATAAGGCCAGACTGGAGAGAAATGGCTGAGGGTTTGCCATCTTGTTGATGTTTTGTGCAGGCTGTGTGAAGAGCTAACAGCAAGCTACACGGTTAAGGCCTAGTAAGTATGCAAAATTCATGGTTTCCTTGAATCTTGAGGGCACAAAATTCCAGTCGCTCCCAGACAGCATCTGCTCGTTAAGAAATACATCCAAACCACATGTTCTATAAAGGTCCCTGGTGCTGTGTCCTCTCTTTCGGAGCTTAGCTCCGCAGGATGAAGCGGTAAACAACTGCAACAGCACTGTCCGATTTACACCTGCACGTTACAGGTCTGGGGGGGGTGAAAGGGCATAGTTGAGAGGGAGGTGGGCTCTGTCTTGAACAAAGGCACAGCGAGGAGAAAAGACAGAACTCAAGAGATTTCCAGAGCAAAAAGGTCTAGGAATAGAGTTAGCAGGTCTCAGCTAGCTCTGAAAATAGTAAAGGAGGCAAAATAATCTGGCCTCAAAGAAAACTCTCTTGATGAGCTGCACTCCTAACTTCTACAGCCGAGAGGTGCATCAGATAAATCTCAGCTGACAGCGAGTACATGGGAGCGAGCCAGGTACTTTTCTGTTTCCATACTTCTTATGAAACAACGTTTTCTAATTTTATACTTGAGAATTTAACCTCTTACTCAGCCAGAGTGTACAAAGCCAAGCTCCAGACAAACCATTCAACCAAGGTTACAACGTTGGAATTGATCTGATGAAGCTTTACGTGGCCTCCGTTTCCGCGAAATCCGTTCCAGTATTACTGCGCAGCCCTGACCAAGACCGCAGTGCCAGTCAGGAATGCTAGCTCTTCCAGCAGACTCAGCGGCAGGGGCTGTGTTTTATTTCTGTTGCTATGATTGTGTGTTTATTTTGCCTTTAAGGCTTATCTTGGAGATAAACAAGCAAACTGGTGATCGCCCAGAGTCCAAAGTGGCAGGTTAAGTAACCGAGAAAAACAATAACATGCACTCCAGTGCTTTTAAAATCTACACTGACGTCACAGAAAACTTCCATTTTGCATTACGTCCCATAACTGCATTAAGCACCACGATGCACATTAAACAGCTTAATATACTGCTCCTCCCGCCCCGCAGGTACCACGAGGCTCTATAAAGAATGTCAGGTTTACGATTCATTTAAAACGTGGCTTGAGAAATAGGATTTTTGTGCCACTTTTCATATAACTGTGGGCAATCCAAAACCACTTCAAGCATCACTGCGACTACTGAGTTCCGTGCCTCCAGGTGTATCTTGCTATCTGGGCGCATTTCAGACTGAATGAAGTTCTTGGTGTATCAACCATCCTAATAATGTGCAAATAATCTTGTAATAATTGGACCTCATGGCAGAGAAGTTTAGGAAACAGCTGCAGATAACAAAAGTCATTTTCTCTTTAATGCTCAAATTACTTGTAGGTCCAACTAAAAGAAGCTACACTGGTTTGCAATGCCCTCGAACAGATTAAGATTCTAAAAGCCTCTCTTTTGTTTAAAACCAGAAAATTAATAATTTCCTACAGGATTTAATTACGGCACGCCGTAAGCAGTATCTAAAGATAACAAACCCAGGACCCCCTGCAGTTACTTGGAGATATACAGATACACTGAGTGTGAGATTACATTGTAAATTCCCAAAGCAATGTGCTTCACACATTTTAATGATTTCTAAGACTGCTCTTGATGTAACAGAAATTCAGAACCGATGCCTACATTAACAGGATATTACAGTAATGTGCAAGTTCAAAGACTGCAGGGGATTCGTGAAATTATTTATTATTAGAAGCTTTATTCTTTCACATTATTCATGTCTGTCTTTGGACCAGGTAACTGTGGGTTTGCTGCCTTAGGCAATCTCACTGAAGTCTAAAAAACAGGAGGGCAGTACCACTCTAATCCTTGGGCTTTCTGTTACAGCCGTGCCAAAAGATGAAACGTGCCACGGCATTCTGGGGTTAGCTGAGACCAACTGCCGCGCGCGCCAACAAAACTGCCCTTCCTCTTGAGCACGGGGCTCTGTAAAAGCACCGGAGATCTAGGCTGGTACAATCCGTCACCTTGGAGCAGTCAGAAAAACCTCCTTCAACTGCAGTAACGACCTCCACAAGAAGTTACTGGTGTGCCAACGGCCCCCACGCGAGCTGTGGGAATAGGGTGGGATGCTTCTCAGTCATTCCAGCAAAGGATGTTCTGTGAAACAAATGAACCTATAGGAAACGGAGCCTTTCCAGACTCAGTATGGGACACTTCATCCAACGAAAGGAAAACAGACAAGCCTTGGATTGACGTTACCGACCCCGACCTACGACACTGAGGAAGACTACGTACAGTATTTCTACTGACGTGATCTTACGCAGGGGTACCTGTACGGCAATGTTCTAACCTTTGTCTAGTTTGCCACAGAATTCTTCTACAAAACTAACACACCACAGATGTAGCCACTTCACAATTAATAAGGAAAAAAAAAAGACCCTTTATTACTAAAGGTCTTTCCTGGGATTCAGGGGTTAAGCCAAGTATCTCTATGTGTAATAATTCCGTTCACTCTGTTCAAGACAGGACGCACGCAGCCTGCAAACGCGTGTCAGAAATGGTACCAGCTCACTACCTTTCCAGTGGAAATAAGTTTGGAGGGAGAAAGACAAAAGTAAGACAAGTGAACAGCCCCCACTCCAAACCTTGGTACCCCTTCCTAGACTTTCAGCTAGTCAACAGCCAATTGAGTGCAGGGTACAGAAACAAAGAAATTGGTGCCTTATTCACAGCTTTCCTTCAGTATTATTTTAGTGACATAATTCTGCAAGGCAGTTAGAGGGAAAATGTGACTTACGCATTTCTAAAGAAACTACAGAGCGAAAACTTTAAGATCTAATGATGCTCTACCGGCTTATTGGAAAAAAACCCAAACCCAACCCACTATGAAGCTGAAAAGGAAAGTTGCGGCTATTTCAAGGCAAGAAGGGGCCCCTGAGTATATTCTACAATTAATTCAGCAGTGCTGGTGGCTCCGGAATGCCTGACTGGGAGCAGCAACTTGAGAACTACCACACACCTGGTTCTTCTGGGTTCTCATGGCATCGACTTCATACTCGGCATACTGTAAATCCTGCCCAGGGTCCTTGGTATCTTGTAAATCACAGAAACTCTGAAAGAAGAAATGACAAAAACCCAGATGAGAAAATTTATCTTCTGTTCTTTCAAGAAGAAAATGCTACGCTGTAGATCTAAGGGAAGCATTTGCTTTTAATACAAGCGTGTTAAAACCTTGCACTTGGGGAGAAATTGTGTGCGACAGGACAACGGTTGGCTACACAAAAAAAACCCTGCTTTGGTCGGTAAAATGATGAGAAAGTAACGGAGCAGCTAGATCTCACAGGAAAGAAAATATTCCTATTTGGCAGGTGTCCGTTATTCTCCCCTCAAAGAGAAAACATCCGCTCTGGCCCATGACGTTTGGGCGTGGTTGAGGTCACTCTTGCTAGCGCATTTAACGCTCGAGACCAGAACTCCGTCCTGGTTACCAGAAGTGTTGCTTCAGTGGCTGAGAAACTGATCACTATCTTTTTGCCAAACACCTGAGTTTTCATTTGCTCACCTTGAGGGAATTATAACTTTAATTGAAGCAAATGCACAAATAGAAAGCAACACTCTCAAATAAAGGATTTTTACAAAATGTTGACCTGCACATTTCTCCCTACTCAGAGCAAATGGAAATTAGCAAATGGGGGAATAAAATAAGGCAGAATTATTGTCAGATGAGGAGACGGCAAATGCAATTTCCAGTGCAGAAAACCAGCTTTAAAGGTTAAAGCGTATTTTGGAACCAAAACAGAAGACTGGGAATCTACTTGGCAAATCTTGAAACCTTCTTTAATTGGACCAATAGCTTAGAGCGCTGACAGAGCTTGCGAGATGAGAAATGCATCCATTTCTCCAGCTGTTTCAGGGGGAGTTCAGGAGTTACTCGGTGTAGGGGGGAATCTTAAGAAACTGTAAGAGCAAACTATAAACAAAAAGTAAAGTTTAGCCCTTCTCACATTGGGGCATACTGTACTGAGAACGGGATCGTAGTGACAATTTATCCTGGTCACAAAGCACCTGAAACAATTTGTAGGTTTGGGATGTAGAGGCAAATGAGCGGGAGAGGGTGAACTCGGACAACTCCTCACCGAGAATGGGGATCCACAGATGAAAAACTAGAAAAAGCCCAGACTGCACCATAATTTTTGCAGGTGTCCCTGCCCATGGCGGGGGGGTTAGAACTAGATGATCTTTGAGGTCCCTTCTAACCCAAACCAGTCTGTGATTCTATGATTCTGTGATAATTTGAGGTGCGGTTTCACAGCCCTGACTGAATTCCTAGGGCCTGCCCAGGTACGCCGTAGGCAGGAACTGGACAGGGAGAAAGAACGGTGAGCACAGGCTAGCACACAAGGAGAAAGTGGCAGCCTGTATTTGTTCGGGTCAAACTGAAGCAGAATTTGATTTCCTAACAACAGCAATTACTTTTATTGCAAAGAAGTATTTGGGGGTTGGCCTCTTGAGACCAGGCACTTCTGAAGTACGCAGAACATTTATCACTACGGGAGGTACCAAAGGATTCTAATTTCCTTGAAAATCCACACACTTTCCACAGCAAAACTGACAGATTTTGGCAAGGAACTCCAACACCCTGGTGCCATTCCAAGCCTCGTGCCCTAGGAGAAGGAGGAGCACCAGCTGCAGCCAGGAAGAGCTCTCCCCTTGGACCATCACTGCCATTGCTTTCGGCATTAGGGGATACGTCACCTTGTCAAACTCCAGAAGGGCTGAGCACAACTCGTCTCTCAGTGCCATGAAAGGCGAGGGTGTAACTTTGGGAAAAACAGGGGTTACCTCAGCACTTCTGGGGATGTGGAAGCTAAGTAAAGAGGTTGGAAGAACCGGGACTGCTACGTGAGACCCAAATCCCCGTCACTGGCCTGGGCAGAGACAAACAAGCAGTGCCATTCCTACCGTTCTGGGAGAAGAGCGGCTGTGCAGCAGCCACGGAAACACCCACCTCGGGAGGAAAGGTTTTCCCAAATACTTGTTTCCACAGTTCCAAAGGTGTGTTTGCACGCAGCTTTCCGATGTCGCTGTCAGAGGCGGGTGGGGGTCCTAAGGGTGACAGCGCAGCACAAAGTCTTCTCGTAACAACTCAAGTCATCTAATCATTTTGGATAATGATCCATCTACTATTTTACCTTCTACGGTGTCAAGCTGCAACAAGTTGGAAACACAGTGATCTCCTACCATGAAATTGGCTGAGTGGTACTGGATATTGTATTTTCTTCTGGATCTAAGCACGTTGGTGCTTTCCTATTTGAAGCAGTCCCAATATATTATTAAATTACCCAACAAAACTGTACGCGTAATTCTCAGTAATATAAACACTGAATCATAATTTTATACTTTCTAAGCCATTTCCTTCAACAATCTGTTAAAACTGATGCTGATGTGCTATAATTTAACTTTTTTATTTCCATAAGATTTTGTTCTCATTTTCAAAAGGAGTGAGTTAACACCCACAATGAGGAGGAAACACGCTCACCTATTTGGCTGAGTGAATCCAGGCCGGCCGGTATAAACAGAGGTTTGCTGTGATCCACGGACACAGACTTGCTAAACGGAGAAAATGTATCAAGTGAGCATTAAACGATCGGCGAGAGACGACATTATTCTAGCCAAAACCAGACTCCTACTGGGCTTTGCATACAGGTACACATAAACAAAAATCTGCTCAACTCCAGTGGTGACCATGTTTCTGATCCATCAGTTTGGGGATCAAAACCAAGGAGTTATCGCTGTCCTGAGCAGAGCCAGGCAGATGAGTTGCAGGAGTGACTCAGTCCATAAGCAAGAATCTTTCAGAGATCATATTTAATCTTAAAAAACAGTTTTAGTGATTATTTTTTATTAAGTACTTTCAGACTCTGGGAAAGACATTTAACAGCGGGACAATAAATATATTACCTTTTATCATAGCCAAATGCCAAGTGATTAATAAGAGCACGGGCTTTCAGCAGGTGAGCCTCAGATTTACTGGTAAACTAAATGAATCAGAAAACAAAATACACATCATGATCTTCCATCACAGAAACATTACGTCACCTGCACAGAGGATTTCAGGCAGAACCTGGCTAATTCCCGACCTCATTAGATTCGGTATACGTTTACTAAATTTACTAGGCTAAAAATCTCACCCTCCCTTTCCCAACAAATGTATTTGTCACTGAATATATAGATCAAGAAAGTTTAAATGGAAAATAGCATAAAGGTGAAATAATAAATTTAAAAATATTGATTCACAACTTTTGAAGTACACGCATTATGAGACACAAATCTTTTGCCTAAGATTAATGCCAAACCAGTCTGTGAAACTACATCAAAATTATGCAGAATACCATAAACATTCAGAAATGTAATGAATAACGATAAAAGTGTTCACACAGCATAAAAGCAGATTGGTAGCAGCAGAACTGGTACAGATTTATCGGAAAGCAACTCCCAGAATATCTTCTCAAACAGCAAGCTTATTGCTGTCTAAGGGCTTTTCATGAACAGATTCATGTCTTTGAGAAAGAAGTCAGATCCCTACTGTGGGAAATTAAGTCTCTCCCACTCATTTCAATGGGAATCGGGATTTAGCAGCCAAAGAGTTTTAAGCTCCTAGTATTTAATTTTCAATTACAATAATAAATATTATTGTTTAAATAAATATTTATTGCTTAAATAAATGTTACTGCTTAAATACTTTTTAGAAAACAAAAATGTTAAATCAAGACAGTTGTATTCTCAGTTCACAAAAGATGAATTCAGGTGCCAAGTACAAACGCTGTTCAATTTTACGTGGATGCAAACGGACATACCATGATTGTAACAATTTAAAGCCAACTTAGGTTGTTTGGTAATCAAAATAAGCCACTATTAAATGTTATTTATTACATAAACAATGGCTGATATAATTAGGACCATATTCTGATGTATGGAGCCCGAAAGGCAGCTTTTTTGGACTGTAAACCTGGGCATGCATACTTCTGCCTTCACTCTGGAGACAATTCAAAATCAATTCACGTATCCTCATAACTCACTGTCCTCAAGGCTAGCAGTTCCTACTCATTACTGTAAAAAAATCTCTGCCTTTGTTTTTCAGCACTCTAAGTGTGATAACCTGGTATACTTCAACTGCTGTGAAGATGAGCCCTTGGATCCAAGTTTGTCCGTCTGCTGAAGCCAGGTCACTAGGCAGAAGTTCATGCTTCTGCCAAAAGGGCCAGTTCTCTAACTCTTTCCAGGGCAGTAATTTTTTTCCCCATCCTTCTTTCCTGCACAAAAATGAAGTGTTGCCAGACATGCGGTAAACCCGATGTGGGAACCGAGCTGGCTACCAGATAACTATTTTGATTTAGTTTTTGCTGATCCTGGGAATTATATAGTTTGTTTCTTCACAAGGTGTACCCATCCATACCCTGCCAACACCTATAACCCGTCTGACAGATTAGTTCATGAAGAAAGCTACTGTAAGCCAAACAAAACTCCTAGAGAAAAAGGGATTTAACACTTGCATTTTATAAAGTATTGGCTTGCAACACAAATATTGCTCATCTCTACCCTTAGTTAGAAACCCAAGATACACACCACTAATGATGCTCCATAATAATGTGAAACAAAGCGAAGTGTCTTGCTTATTATTTTCCGCATTTCAGACTCAAACTCCTGAAAAAGTCGGTATTGGAAAACATAGAGAAGAAAGAAAGAAACAAAATATTACAGCTAGAACTTTTCATTTTTTGTATAAACTGCAATGCACTTAGGCTGCAATATACAAGGCTTTCAGCTGTCAGCATAATTATATCCTAAGACAGAATCAGTAACGGCCTACTCTGAAAAGAAATGTCACAATTTCCCTTTGTTTCTTTTTCACAGAGGGAGCCTAACTCAGGCAACATGTTACCCCAGAAAAAGGTTTCTTAATTGGGAATGTGTATTAAATATTCACAATTAATTTGTTTCATTTTGGTTTAAATTTTTAGAAGTAGAAATGGTGCCTACTAGCAGAACCTGGAGTTTTCCTGTGCAAATATTTCACTTTTAGTAAACCTTTGGGTAGGTGCTCTATAAATTCTAATACCTGCAAGGTTTGAAAGGTGCACGAAAATACCTTTTTATCAGTGTTTCTTTAATACAAGATCAAACAGATGGCCTTCCCTGAGCAAAGTAGGTGAAAACCTGGTCCCAGTGAAGGCTGCTGGGGTCTGTCTGTAGACCCCAGGGAATGTGGCTGCTATTCTGTGCTAATTATGTGAGAGTCACTGATTCTTAAAGAGGTTCTGTCTCAGCATAAAGCCCAGTGTGAGAGAAGGCACAGTACCTTATCAGTAAAAATTGTCAGGGCCAGCCAAGTATCGACGCGCTATGTAGTCACCCGGAGAGCACAGGCTGCCAGCACAGCAGCTAAAAATCACACATACTGGTCCAGTTTCTCATGATCAAGTGCTGCTTGAAAACTGAGTATACATGTGTTTGGGTTTTTAACGTCCTGGGAGAGAATCCAGCAGTACCATGGCGCTTCTTTCCCCTCCCTCCTAAAAAATCCAATTACTCACTTGTCTCTCAAATTTAAGAGGTACCTAAAAAAAGAGTTCCAAACTGAAATGCCAGTTTGCTGTTTGTGCTGCCACCACTACCAAAGAATCTGTCCGGCTGACATGAGGTGCCCCCTTTTCACTGCCATATGGTTACAGTCGCTCTCAGTAGGGCCTGAGATTTCTCCATCATAAAAGGAAGTCATCAACATGATGTTTTCTTGCTTCTCTCCTTGGTCTGCAGCAACTTCCATCTCAAGACTTTCCACATATATCTCAAAAATCCTCTTCCATTATGGAAAGACAGTATGCCTTCCATAATGCCCTTGGATGGAAAGGGTTTTTTTCTGGTAGAAGGCTGACTGGCCATACTGTTGTTCAAATTATTATTACAACATGAAGAGTTTATTATCTAGAATTCTTACCAGGAATCTTTTCATTATTGAAAAAAGAAAAACATTACTTACTTGAAAAACATCATATTTGCTTCCAATTATCACCAAGGGTATTGGAAAAGGGTCAATTAACTCATAATCCTATTAAACAGATAGATGACAGTTAAGCGGCGTAAATGAATTGTAAAAGACTGCAACAGTTAAAACAACTGAAAGGAGGTAAAACTAACTCACAGAAGACAAGGTCTGTTTTTTTCAAACCCTCAAGTTAGAATGCAGTATTCATATTATACAATCTTCTCATTTTCTTCATAAATGCTCGGGAAATAACCCCTCTGAGCAGTCAGAACACATACTGACAATAAAAGGCTCTCACATTATATAGCCCAGTTCCAGCGTCAGACAGGAAGGGAAAGGGGGAAAACCCCCAGAAATTCACAGAACAACTGCCAGTTTACATGAGTAGGAGTGGTGCTCTGACATACTCCCCTCCGTGCATCACGCCCAAAGTAATAGAGACAAAAGCTCAGGTAAATTAAAGTGCACATTTGCATGGGTCACACATTTGTCCTCCTCACACCGTGTATTCCAAACTTGTTTAAAAAATATTTAATGTGGTTTTCAAATGTTTGGTATGAGCAGAAGAGGGAAACATCACCTAACAACCATGTAAGTACAAATGAAGATCAATGGAAGAAAATAGCTCTGGGGATGTAGAGGACTTAACTGTTAAATAGTTAACCTCTAACAAAAGCTGTAGTCAGTAGATTACAATAATTCTCAAGTTATCTGGAAGGTTTTCCTGCAGTCTGCATGGAACGAGACCATCCCCTTCGGTGTTCACGCAATGATTCAGTCAAGCTGCCTTCGCGGCAGCAGAGCGGAAGAGAGCAGAGGCTGTGCTCTGTGGAAGAGAGCCTGTGTGTCCTAGCAGAGGCTGAGCTAAGTGTTCCCTTCCGAAGCCAGCTGTCTCACATCCAGGTTAAATGGCAGTCAGCGTAGTAGTAAGAAGCTGCAAATACTGAAAATCTTCCACTTTCAGATGAAAAAAATTATCGCTTCACTCATACATTGTCAAGCAAAAGCAAAATTATGGTAACTTCTAATTGGGTGTGTAGGATATAGAACTGAAAACGATTAGTGTTAGTTTCTTAACTAAGAAAAAATGAATTTGGGATAACCCCGGAAACAGTAAAGCTGGCATACTGAGCCCTATTCATCTTTTCACTATGGGTTTAACTTCTGGCTACGGACTACTTGAGGCACACCCAGCCTTTTGAAACAAGGCCTGCACCCGATATATTTATGTTTTACCATCATAGCCAATAATCCCTTACCCAGGCTAATGGAATATAGCTAAGCCTTAAAAAAACCCTGTAAGATCCGAAACGGTTCCTGTTTATCATAAAAATATGGTTAGCTGTAAAAAGGCAAATAAAAATCTCCATAAACTGTCATTTAATTTTTTGGCTGTAGAAGCCACAAAACTGACACCACTTTTTCCTTGGAAATGACGAAAGTTTAAAGAGAACCCAGGAGTAACAACATAACATTTTGTTTGCACCCCTTCTGGTTTTGACAATGAAGGCTGAACACAAATTCTAGCTTAGCGGGTAGAAATGCGTTCCCTCCAGGGCAAGGGTCACAGGTCTTCTCTCTCTAACAACTGGTGGTGCTGCGCTTGTCACTTACTGAAAAGAGGCTGTGGTTTTCCAACATGTAAGCCCCTAAACCTAAACTTGACACCGTGGCCATGAATTGTTCCAGGTGTGCTTGCAGGCATTTTCTTTTGGTGAACCACCTTCTCGTACTCCAGCAGATCTCAAACCCTACACTCCCCACCTCCCGAGTGTTGCATGTGTCACTTTCTCAAAAATCTTAAAAGTTGCTTCTCAATTTCTGAGCTGCAGAAGCACTTGCTGTATTGCAGCATTTTATAGAAGTTACAGTAACCAGATTTATGTGCAAGTCTTTGAACTGTTAGGTACTTATTTATGCATTATATACACACAACATTTGCAGAGGTTTAACGCGCAATGACTTTCCATTTCTATTGCGCATAATCTAGTTTAGCTTTTCCAGGGATTTAGTTAGCAATTATGTTTAAAGGACTGATGTTAACATTTCTGAAACTTTATAATTTAATTAGTTGTCAGATTATCAAAAGGCATTGAGTTTGTGATAGACATTTAAATAAATGCAAAGTATATAGTCATGTTGATGGCTGTTATAACTACATTCTTCGCTTAAATTTGTACCTTCAGCTAGTCTCTTGCTAGATGACTTTTGTACATTCTAGTTTTCATCTTCATTTTAAAAAAGATGAGGGGGGAAAAAAAAGCAAACTGCTACTCTAAAACTATTTCTTTTGATTGGTGTAACATGCCATAACAATCACATTAGATATCTAACAAAAAGATATAAGAAACCTTCTTTCCTTGTTTCTGCTCTTATTGAATTTTCATTAAATTGCTATAATTTTCCAGTGAACAGGTTCATCTACATCAAATGGATTTTCAGTCATGCATAAAAATCTAAAAGAGTTGTTTATGATTTTCAAAAGCATTATCTTTAACTGTATAAAGGCCTGTGACACCTGGAGAAAATATTAGAAGTAACTTACTGGATGATCCCTCTGCAGATTTTTCCACATCCTCTGTTTAATTTCAGTAGCTACTTCAGGATTTGTCTTTTCTAGTTTCATTAAAATTTTGTTCACATGGTTCCTGGTGGCCTGCAGAAGTTTCTCCATCGTAGTCCAGAGTTCGTTAGGTTTGGACAAATCCAAAACAAGAACCACAGCAAATGACCTATTAAACGGGCATTATCTGGTCAAAACTTGGCGCACGAGACAATTCCGGCTTTCACACACAACCACGCCTGTAGTACAAATGGTGAAAGCAGCAAATGTGAAAACACAAACGCTAAGAGAGAACTAAATGGTGAGAGCAAAGGCTTTTCAGGATGCTCTGAAGAAACCTTTCCACTGTCTCTTGTTCAGTACTATCACTTTGGCAACTCTCCATCAGAGGTTTTGGGGGATTGTCTAGATCAAACTTTAGTTTCTGGAGACTTTGTTTCAAAGTAGTAAAATATGCAAATATCCTCAGCCCATTCAGCTCCTTCTTACTACATGACTGGGCACTTCTACTGTGCATCCCTGCCATCTCGTAACTCTACAGTCCCACATGAAGCAACGTTAGCAAATGGGTAGGATCCTTCCTAACCGTCAATGCATTAGAAAGTTCTGTACTTTCATGACTCTTTTCTAATACAAAATGGAAAAAAATGGTTAAGGGCAATATTCTGTGCGATGGACTCTGCTAATTAGCTGGAACCTCAAATGAGCGTATGAGAAAGTCTTCTGAAAGATAAACAGAAGCAGCCAGTACTCAAGACATACTTTGCAATTATCAGGGTTTTAAAGATGAATTATGATGAGAAATGTTTTACACATCAACTGCTCCCCTTCTTCCAAAACCCTGCCTCCCAGTACTCGAACCGCAACGAAGTGCGACTGCAAGGAGCATCGCCATCGCAGCCATTTGAAGGGATGCAATCATTCTTCCCATTCCATCCTGACTTGCAAAAGGGGATGCCAGACCAGAGTGGCGTTAGAAAGACTACAAACCAAAGTGAATGTCCAATTTCACTTCAAATTGCTGGGGAGGGGAAGAGGGAATCTGGTGAAAAGCCTTTTGGTGGAACTAGATACAGTTCATGGAACTTTTAAATAAGCGAATTGCTTGGCTACAGACAGATGAGAAAATCAGTGAAAAGCAATTACGTTGACATGGTACGATTTCTGAGTAGTAAGTTAAAATATTGTCTTGTGAACACAAGTGGCCTTAGAGAACAATGGTGCAATCCCAACAAAGGATCTTGATATCATCCACATCAGAAGATTTCTTATCAGTAAAAAGGGAAGAAAAGACTCCTGGAGATGGAGCTCAGTCAAGTTCATTTAGGCAACAGTAGAAAAATGATAGCTGATTTTTCCCCCCAAGCTCTTCTAGAAACATAAAGCTTCACATGCCAGAAGTGGGTTTCTTCCTTCCGTCTTTAGCATCTCACTAAATAATGACATTATGTCAGTAACCAAAACAGTAGAACGTACGTGACAGAAATTGTATCTCCCCTTCTCTTTCTTCCACAGAAGTTAAAGCTCACTACCAAAGAAATAAAGCAATGCTTCATAATACAAAGCCTGTATTTTGATCCTTTTTTGCCCTTCCGCTTTCAACTCCATCACCCCTAACCAGAGAAAAAAGAAAATGCCCCCCCATCACCTTCCCATTTCTTTATGCAACTCTTCTTCATGCATTTCTTCTTCCCATGCTATTCCATCACTTTTACAGACTTTTCTCACTACATTCCCTTAATTCTCACTAGTTTCCTGTCTCCCTCTCTCTTTGAATAATTTCAATAGTTTTAGTCCCTCTCAGAAGCATCCTCTCTCTTGTATGGTCATCTTCTCATCAGATGGTCCCTTCACTTCCCAAAAACCCATTATTTTATTTTTTCCTCCAAAACTTTTGCCTTGTTTTTCACCCTAAAATACTGCCCCTCACAGAGATCCCATCTATGTTTGCATAAAGAAGTAGGAAGCAGATTGTATTTTTTGAATGGTCCCAAGTTGATTTTTCCGCTTTCACTGAGCGTAAACATACTACATCTTCACTACTTCTGTATTTCTTGTTCTGCCTTCTTAAGGCCAACCTATTTCCTTCGTGTTATTGCTCTCTTGTTGCTGGAGATTGCTAAGAACTTGCCTTACTAGGAGAGAATTGTGAAAAGGAAGGTCAGAGCAAACTATCAGTGGTATTACAATGATTTTTAGAAAAAAATCACAAGTGTTCTATCTTACATTTTCAGAGTTTTCCACAATAAAAGGTCTAGAGATTTACTTTGAAAGAAAACTCAAATTAACCTTGGAATTATCATATTAATCTCTTACCTTATGTTGTTGCTAGTGATTGGTATTCGAATCAGTTCCAGCAATGAGGTTCCACCACCTACTTCCCAAAAATGAGCTATATCTTTAGGCTGAAAAAGTTTCTTTGTGTTAGAAATGTTTGCTGCTGTGCAACACCAAGAGAAGATCTTCATCTGATAAACTGGCTTTTCAAAACAGTGACTCAGAACAAGAACATGTATTATTTCATTAGTATTTGCTAAAAAACTAATTGAAAAAAACCCACGCTCCATGCCGAAGGAGTCGCATACCACACCTACAGAGGGCTCCTGGCATGCCTACGACTGTCCTGATGAATGACTGTGGTAAAGTAAAAGTCAGGAAGCAGCAGGATTAATGAGAAACATGCAAAAAAAAAAAAACCCAGACTGTTTTTTCCCTTTCTTTTTGTTTATTGCAGCTCAAGACTAGAGCTTTTTGAGAAGTCTGCAACTGGAGAAGTAATGAATTTCTACCTTTGTGTTTCGTTCCTGGGAAAAGCTTTAAGTGATTTTTATCTTTCAGAGTCAGATGTTCCACTCCCTGCTGCAGTAACAGAAACAACAATTACCTGCAGCAGTGGTTATTACTGCTGGGCAGTGTGGTGCTGTGATGAGTTCAATATTTCTGTCAACATAATCTGCAGTGCAAAATTTAGCGATATGGACATACAACTCTAAAATCTAATTATAATTTAACATCCTCTAAGATGACTTGTTCTCTCATACAGCTGGTTGTAAAGTATCTTCAATGGTTTGCGCCCATTTTGCATTTTAAAGACAAATTTAAGGGCATGCATCTCATGTTATAATGGGAAAATAAAAGCACTCAAACGTGACAAACAAGGTAGTTTTTAAAAATTAATCTGATCGCTTTGTGTTACACTTTGGTATCTGATCTACTGTGTTTTAGTGAGAGAGAAAAACATATTACAGACTGAAATACAAAATTAGGCTAGTTAATATGAATAAAATGATACATTATTTTTATATGTGTATATACATATATATATATGCATAAGATATATATAAACTGTATTTTCTGGATACTCACTGCATTGTGTCTCCTTGCCCTTCTTCCAAAAGTATATTCCAAGGCTAATGTTGGCTTTGGAATCTCTTCCCTATGCAAGGAAAAATAACATCATTTTGTCAAGATACTCTAAATAAAGTTAATGCTACTGTTACTAAATTATATTTATATTTTATTATACTTATCAGTCAGTTCAGAATTTGGCATAGAAACAGCAGTACAGAGAGGACACTTTAAGACAACAGGTCTCAGTTGCTAAGGACGGAGAAGTAGCGGCACCAGTCTGCATAGATGGTCATTTAAGCTCTCTGATACCGAGGAAGAAAGACTGAAGGGTGTCAGATTACAGACAGTCATGAAGGGAAATAAGTTTATCCATAAGTGACCCACCCATCACAGAAGACAATGCCTGTGTACATATATTATGAATTATCACACAATGTAACTATTTATGTAAAAATCTGATCCACAGTTGAAAACTACTTTTAAAAGTTTAGCACATACCTCTCAAGACACCTTAGTATAATGGTGGTCTTTCCCTGGAAGTTAAAAACAAAGAACTCCACTGTACTGTCATTAAAGCATAGAAGTTGTATCGTTAAACTCACTCATTTAACATTCCAATAATAAAGTACCAGAAAAGAGTAAACTCATGTCATTGTAGCCTTATAGCAGAAAGTTAACTGCCAACTTTCTGTCAGAACCAAGTTCACTACTGTTATTATAAATTAACAGAGATGACAAATACAGGAATAAGATTAGTGTGCTTAAAATTAAACATTAATGATCAACCTGGCCTACTCTGTTAAACTGTTTAACAGTTTTTAATTATTAATAATACATTTATGTGATGTTTCCTGCTGAGATTAATTATAACCTATGAAAATAAAAGAACGCTTAAAATACAAATAAACATACAGAAAAATATGTCTTTACCCTGTTGAAATTCAGACAGTGCGTACCATGCCACGCTGAAGGGGCTAGCACTCCTACGGCTTACTCCTGTGTCCTTTCCTATCTCACAAATCAGTGAATTTCAGGTGAATCTAAAGAGTCATTGTATGTTCTCTGAGAAAGGTATTTTAAAAGTTGCTGATTAAGTTTGTACATATCCCTATCATTCTAAAATAAAAATTGTATTCTTAAAAATACGACTCCCTTGGCCAAAAAGGCAAATGTTTCCTTACGTACTTTACAAAGAAATGCTACGGGAAGAAAAATACTACGTTAATAATGACCAAACTTATGGGAAAATGAGCTAAAGCAACCTTAAGTATGGGGAATCGTGAGTTTGCAATCACTGATAAGGCATGCTCAGATAGGTCTGACACAACACAACTCATCGCAGGATGTCAAGGCCCCTACACCAAAACTGGTATCAGTGCACTTAAATTGGATTGTTACCAGTTAAACCTTTACAAGGGGAAATTTGATGTGTCAAACCATTAAAGAGAGCACTATTATTTCCAGCAGTTTCTTTTACAAAAATTAATGAAGCCAAGCCTCAAAGAATTAGCTCATCACCCATAACAACAGTTGAGGTTCTGACTCTCCAGATGGAGTTCTTACTCTCCGATGTTACATTGGAATTGTAACAATGTCTAAGTGGTCCACACGCTGTGGAATGCCTACTCTCTGCGGAATCAGCACGTGACATATTTTGCCTCTAGAAGAGTGAAGTGGACCTTGATATCTCAAAACCTCTGGTATTTCCCCTGGCACAAGCTATGTTCGAAAAGCACAGAACTGCACAGGATTTAGCGTACCCCGCTTTTGCTTCCCATAAACAATACTGATTTTTCCCAAACTTCCACGTGCTTGCCATCACCGTCAGGGTTTTCTCTCTTCTCCACTTCAGCTATAGCAAGATCCCATAAAGTATCGCTAGTGGGGAAAAAATGAAATCAGAGTGTAACAAAACAATGGAGCCTTAGCCATAATTCCTAAGAATATCTAAATGAGTAAATGAAGGGTATCGCGGTTGTTTGACGATGATGATTATTAATTTGTATTTCACATACCATGCCCCCTGCTTGCAGAAGAACTACTTTTAACAGAAGGGGGTGAACTCCCTGAGGTAAGGCCCGCGGCACACGCCAGCTGTGTGGTGGGAGACCTGATGCCGAGCACGTCTGAGACACCCTTCAAAGGCTTCCTAAGGCCTGGGGCTTCTCCCGGCACCCCGCAGGTCGGGCTGGCGGCCTCTCCAGCCGGGAGCCCCCGGAGGCCGGTCCCGGTCGGTGGGCG